TTCTTGGTCAATTGGTGAGGTGAAATGGTTCACTGAATTGGATAACACAGTGCATACCATAGTGACTGATTAAATTGATTTGTCCATGGCTGCAGCCTACTCTATTACTGAGGCCCTTTAACCTATTTTCGAACTCTTTTGAGAGAGAGAGAGAGAGAGAGAGAAAGAGAGAGAGAGCGCTCTGGATGAATGTTATCCCAAAGGAAGGAAGTGAATTTAAGTTAAATTTACAGCAATAAAATTCTCTCCAGAATTAAAATCTGATGTATCATTTCCAAAGTGGAGTACAATCCTTATCAACATATAGATGGGAAATCACAGAATAAATATACTATATAGAGATCAGGAGGAAATTGAGAAAATACCATTCTTTAATATCAATTTAAATCATGACACACATCCCTTATACTTTAGTATTTTTCTAAAACTTTTTGAGGAGGGTGGAAGAGATTACTGTGGTTATATTTCAGTTGCAACACTTATTGTTTTATCTAGTGGTTTTACAGAAAGCTTATCTGACAGACAATATACCAGTAAGAGATCTTCATAATGGCTTTGGTTTGGACATTTGTTTTGAAAAACTATGTAACTGAGGGAAAGAAACCAATGTATAATGTTTAATATAGTAAACATTTTTACCAAACTTAGGAAATAGCTAGCATTCTGGTCTTAGAGAATAGGGTGCTTGTAGAGTATCTAAACATTTATTTAATCTTGCTGAAATCGAGAAAATAAATGCTAGATGACTGTGGTTTGTAAAACCGTGCCTCCTTTCTTTCTTTCTTTCTTTCTTTCTTTCTTTCTTTCTTTCTTTCTTTCTTTCTTTCTTCTGCTTAGCATAATTAAGGTTGCTGGGTCAGTTTACAATACATGCAAACAGACTCAATTTGAGAAAGAGTTCTTCAACCCTACTGCCCCGTTGCACAAAGAAGAGATGTATACTGAATATTTTAAAATGTTAGCAGCTCATCTGAAGCCACTTAAAGACTAATTTTAGGGTTTTGTTGTTGTTGTTGTTGTTGTTACACTTCTGAAAACTGGACACAATGATGCCATTACAACATCCTCTACAAGAATTGTAAAAATATTATGGAATTCTATGTGTCATTTGACTTCTCCGAGTTATAAATTGTCCTTTGTAAATTCAGGTTGGCCAGGGCAAGGACATTTTTGGATCATAATGGGTGAGCAAGAATTGCAAGAGAGAGCAATGTTTCCTTGCCAAAATATTCATGGCAATTTTGCAAGGGCTGATATAAACTATATACTGTTTTTGGCAATTTCTCTTCCAAAAGTTAAATCTATTTCATAAGCTAAGGCAAACACAGCCATATGCTTAAATTTGGGCATCTGAGTAGCTAAACACAATGGTTACAAAAATGCATATAAGTGTTTGAGGCTAAAACTTCATTTTCTAGTGATCTGGAATTTTAAATTATCTCACTATAGATTAGATCCAAAGCCCATTGAAGTCCCTGAAAAAGTTCATCCCTTGTTTACAGAATTTGGATTTAAGCATGACAATCACGTCATATGATTTGATGTTTTTTAAATTAATTAAATTTATGCATATATAAGATTTATAATGCTGGTTATAGAAACACAGCAAATACCTGCATAAAACTCTTGGTGAATGTAACAGGATGGTCTTACTATATCAAAGAAATTATCATCATAAAGCTGCACTTTATGCATGACAATAGCTTGTGCAATTATTTTCTTTTTAACATATAATACAAGAATGTATATATACTGTTTTAAGAAATCATAAATGTAGCCTGTCTTATGAATAAGGATCATTCAGTTAGGTATTTACTTGAGGACTGCCGGACTGAGCCCTTAGTTAACAAGATTACCAGTAAAGTATTTTACATTCTGGTTGTATGTTTAATCACTGGCATGGTTGTTTTAAAGAATAAAGTTGTGTAATGGTTGTACATTCTGAAGTTTGCTTGTTTTTCGAAGACTTCACTTTAATTGTGCTGAGTTATGGATTTCCAGGGAAGAAAACAATGAACCCATTTGTATCACTACTACTTTTTTAAAACAGAAACTGTTAATGTCCCCTCAGTACACTATGTTGCAACCACTTAGCAATAAGTATTGTAAAACGCATCCACCTAGCCTCCATCCCCCTCTTACCATGCCCTTTCCACTTATGCAGCTGGGTCCCTGACACCATTCCCCTTCATCCCCTTGTAGCAGTGTCGGGCTCTGATAGATGAATTGGGGGTGGGGACACGTCATTCCCCTTCCTGCAGTTATTACTGAGAAGAGTAACAGAACAAGGGATTTATGACTGTTCCTACAGAACCTCTTCCATGGAATGAGGGAACATCCCTTTAAGGGAAGTCCAGTGGCTGCCTGGCCCAGGGGAGTTCATTGAAATCATGCCAACAGCTGGCAACCCAGCTCCTGATCTACCTCCAGCTTGGCCTCATACAAAAACTCCTAGATCATGGTCCTGGGAGGTTGAACTCCACTTTTCTGTGAAGCCGGGAAGAACTCCCCCTCACAGGGACCCTTGCAGAGATTTCCTTTCCCTTGCCTGGGGGGGAAATGATTCTAGCCCATTGTCATCATAATGGCCTCTTCACTCTTTTGGAGCTGACTAATTTGGATGCTATACAGTTTTTCAGGAGGTTTGCTCCTCTGGAAGGGTTGGGTAAACTATGAGACTGTTTATCAAAGAACATTGAATTTATTTAATTTCACCATTATTCAACTGTTAACAGAGGGTGAGTGCTGTGCCTTCTCTACCTATTAGCTAATATGGAACAACCATGATTAATTAGTAAAGATGAACTTGTAGGCTATCATAGCCTGGGTTTATTTTTGCAACAACACTTTTAGTCATTAACCTAAATTAAACACACTAGCACTCCAACAGCTTATTGCTAAAATATTTAAGTGAAGAAGATATTTAATCTATATTACATGAGCTACAGACTTTTTTGTGGGCACATTTGAATATTTGGTGCCCTCTAGTGGATCATTCTAATGTTATCAGTCCAAGCACATTCTCTGAGATTATTATAGAGAAATACCCCGGGTACTTTTGATAGAGTCCACACATCTATTTTTACAGAGTAATAAACTATTTTAACTTTTGTTGCCACTGAAAGGTATAGAAAATTATTATTTTTCCTTTAATATTTTTCTAATATTTTGCACACTGCATTGAGGACTATTGGGTCTTGCACAAAAGTACCCTTACAACTTCACGCTTATGTATGTAGGCCAGATTTTTAAAGCTAATTAAATGCATCCTTAGGCCTCTAAATACATTTGAAAATCTGGCCTGAGGATTTGATCTATTAAGTCATGTCTACACTAGAAAATTATTTTGAAAAAACTAAATTCAACTTAATAACTCCTGATTTTACAAAATTGAAACAGCGATTCCCCACTACGGCGAAGTCTCGAAATTAGTCCGATGCAGACTGCATTAATGTGGATGCTCTACCTTGACGTACAGCCCCAGGAAACACTGGGGAGTAATTAGGTCTAGGGCTGGACTGAGGCATGGGCAAGCCAGGCAGCTGCCCAGGGCACCAACAGATGGGGGGTGCCTGATGGCAGCTGTAAGGGGTGTGTGGTGTCCCTTACAGCTGCCATCAGGCACCACGCACCCGGCTCCCACAGAGCCCTTCCCCCCATGGCTGCGGAGCTCTGCATGGCCCAGCGCGCGCGCTAGCAGCGCTGACTGGGCCGGGCCGGGCAGCACATGTGCCATGCGTCCTGGGTGTGGGCCCCAGGCTGCGCACCAGTGGCCATGGCCGGCCCGCGCATGCACCATGCACCCTGGGGGCGGGCGCGCGCATGCACCGTGCGCCTGGGGGCGGTGCCGCATGCCCAGGCCCAGTGCGCCAAAAGGGCTCGGGCCAGCCCTGATTAGGTCGAATTACTCTGGGGAGCAGTTATTTCAAAATAGCAGCAGTGGAGCAGCCACACTAACACTATTTCGAAGTAATGATTTTGAAATTAGCGTTACTTCTCAAGGAAAGGAGTACAGATTTCAGAATAACACCCTAATGTACACCGGGGCTTACAGTCAGCAAATAGACTTCCACTGTCTTCAGTGAGCTTTGGCTCAGACTCTAACTGAGGGCCAGATTCTGTGACAGTGATACTAAAGTGCTCGTGAAGGGATATATGAATGAAGGTGGTAGAATCTCGCCTAAATGAAGGTGAGATTTTTTTAGTAACTGAGGGTATGTCTACACTACCCTCCTAGTTCGAACTAGGAGGGTAATGTAGGCCGAGGAACGAGGTGTACCGGTAGTTCGGAATAGGAACCTAGTCCGAACTACCTAGTTCGAGCCCCGTGTAGCCGCGCTACCCGGGGTTCGAACAAGCGGGGATTTAAAAATGGCGGCTCCCCGCTTATGCAAATGAAGCCCGGGAAATTCAAATCCCGGGCTTCATTTGCATAAGCGGGGAGCCGCCATTTTTAAATCCCCGCTTATGCAAATGAAGCCCGGGAAATTCAAATCCCGGGCTTCATTTGCATAAGCGGGGAGCCGCCATTTTTAAATCCCCGCTTATGCAAATGAAGCCCGGGAAATTCAAATCCCGGGCTTCATTTGCATAAGCGGGGAGCCGCCATTTTTAAATCCCCGCTTATGCAAATGAAGCCCGGGAAATTCAAATCCCGGGCTTCATTTGCAAGTGCGGTATGCCTACATTACCCCCCTAGTTCAAACTAGCGGGGTAGTGTAGACATACCCTAAATGATTGAGGAGTACAAGTCCTAACCACTTTCAATGGAACTTGTGCAGCTAAATCACTCAGAAACTTCTGAAAAAAAATCTTACTTTAAATCCTTGCAATCAGGAAATAAATGCTATAAAATATTGAGTGGAAGGAAACCCACTGTTTTACAAATGTGTTGTGTTTTTCCATGTTAAATTAAAAAATGGTTACACATCTCTTTCTTTCTTTCTTGAAGAACATTTCTATTGATGTATTTTATAACAAACTCTCTTTTTCATTTGTAGATGCTACAATTGTGGTGGCCTTGATCATCATGCTAAAGAATGTAGTCTACCTCCACAGCCAAAGAAGTGCCATTACTGTCAGAGCATCATGCACATGGTGGCTAACTGCCCTCATAAAACTGTTACACAACAGCCCACTAGTTCTCAGGGAAGATATGAAGCAGAACCACAGCCTTCCACTTCCGCTTTCCTGAGAGAAGGGGGAGGGGCTTATGGCCATTCATCTCCATCCTATTCTCAGGAGGGAAGGTCAGAAATCTTAGAACGTTCAGGCAGGTCTCCGCAAGAAGCCTCCTCCAGTAAGTTATCTGCATCACCTGAAGAACAAAGCAAAAAGGGGCCTTCTGTTCAAAAAAGGAAAAAAACTTAAAACTTTGTTATAACCTTTCAATTTTCTTTACCCTCTTGGAATGTCTACCTCATGCAAGTACAGGGGAAATAATTTCACTATCAGTAGCTGACCTGAAATTTTAACTACTGTTGAGAACTGTGAATTTATGTTTTTAATAGACAAATCACTCCAAGCAAATTACAGTTGAGCAGGGTGTCTTGTGTTTTACCTCCTGTGTGTGTGGATGTGCATGAGTGCATGTGTCTCTGTAATGTCTTTCTGTCTGTCTGTATACAGATCTATAATTGCTATCTCTGTATATGTAGGCATACACACACCAGCAGAACAGTTTCCATTTCCCAGGATACATCATCAATTGTGAAGCAGTAGTCATAGTTCAGAACGCTTTTAGATTCTCGTTCCTGGAAGCAACCTTGAAACATGCTTTAAAAACCATTTAAGAGCACGACTGTTACTTCTCTACAAACCAAAGGATACTTTGCCTCCCAAAGCTGCCAATGATATGGTACCAAGGTGCTGGAACAATAGGTGTAGTGAGGGTGCTGAGAGCCATTGAACCAAACTGAAAACCTTGTATATAATGGAAACCACTTCTAGTCAGTATGTGCTGCAGCACCCCAACATCTCCAGTTCCAGCACCTCTGTGGACGGTACTAAGAATATTAAGACATTCCCCTAACCCTTTATTCTGGGTAGATATTTTGTTCTTGATCCCCAATGTGTAGTAATGTTTTGTTTGTTTGGGTTTTTTTTCCTCCACACCTGTAAAGGGCATGCCTTGATTAAGTTGCCACAATCTTTGTTTTGGAGTTAAGGCTCCAGAAAAGACAATGAATGTGTAGTTTCTGTGCTGAGATTGCAAATGTTGTGTTAAATGAATATGGTTGAATTTTAAGTTAGATCACTGTTGTATGAGGGGAGAATGTGTAAGTTGGTAGGAACTATTGTTTGAGTAGTACCAAGCTATCACACCTTGTTTTCCCCTTTGCGCTTGTGAAAATCTTGGGGGGGAGGGGTGGCGTAGGCAGCTGCTTCGCTTAGTCCCAATTTGTCCCCCTGTGTCAGTGGACAGATCAAGGGGATTACCCCCTTGTTTACTACTGAAAGTCCTGGTGAGAACTCCCTAGGGTTTTTTTAAGTTAAAGGAAAATAAATACAAAGTTAATGAAATATTGGGGTACAGCCCTTATGGAGAATAAAAATGAATGGGCACTTACAATTGATCAAACTCCCCTGCTAGGCATGTAGTACAGGTACAGTTCTGAGGGTGTGTCTACACTGCAAGGCTTACCTCGAAATAAGCTATGCAAATTGAACCATGTCAATTACATATCTTATTTTGAAATAGCTTATTTCGAAATAGGGAGCGTCTACACAGCACTTATTTCGCAATAGAGCACGCTTCCTCCGACTTCCCTTATTCCTTGTACAATGAGGTTTACAGGAGTTGGAGTAAGAAATCCTCCAGCTTGACAATATTTTGACACTATTTTGAAATAACTGCCTGCTGTGTAGACATGGACTAAGTTATTTTGGAATAGCGCTAGTTATTTTGAAATAGTGTTGCAGTGTAGACATACCCTGAGTGAACAACATACAGATCTGATGCAGAGTGTCCTTAGAGCAGGGACATGCGAACATTGGCACATTTGCCAGAAGCCCTAAGACTCCATCTGCTGTCCATGAAATGGAGAAGACTGCAGACGGGCCTTGGCTCAATACATGCCATGACCACTCCTCTGTACTAAAGATGAACATGTCTGCAAGCCCCATCATATAACTTGCTGGGCTGCACTTTAACCAACCCATGGGCTGCACTTTGGCCATCCTAACATGGTCCATTTGTAATTGGCAGATTAATAAACCATGCCTAAGAAAATATCCTTCTAGCCATCCCACTGCACGTGTAATTTCTTTGGGGAAACCTGTATAATCCTTAGCATTGGCAATAAACAATAGGCTGTTACAAAAACTGAGATGGGAAGGTAGGTTTAAGCTCAGATAATCAAAAAAGAAACATAATGTAGGAAAAGGCAATACTGGGCCAAATTCATATCTGTTGTAATGCCATGCCATTAGCTGCAGTGGCCTTACACCAGCAGTGCATCAGCCCATTAGTTGGCAAGGCCTCCCTCCTCAAATTGTCTTGTCATATGAAACTTCTATTGTAGCTGCTGCTGCTACAGTAAATAGATAAGGATCAGCTGCCTCAGTAAAGGGTGTGAGTCCTGTAGATGAACTTTGACTGAATTCCATGACAGTGTTTGTGAGAATCTCAATGGTTTGTACTGATGTTCTCAGTATGCCGTGATGCAAAGCTTACCTTTGACGATATTGAATGTGATGTATCTATAGAGAAGTACTTCCTTGCCTTATGTGAGGATTGTAAACTTATTTAAATTATGTAGACAAATCAAAGTGGCATTGCTTAACCTTCTAGCAGGTGTAATAACCAGGTGAAATAGCAAAGATGCAAAACTTAGGTCACTTTGAAAATCTAAACCAAAGTTCCTTATAGAAATAGGCAATTGTGGATTTGAACATTGGTCATTCCCTGTTTACATATAAAAAGTTCAGAGCTGAGATCATTAGGAAGTAAGTAATTCTGATATATAGACCTTACTGGTGCTGTTTGAAATAGTTTTGTGCACCAAAACCAGACTGAACTGCTAAGAGCACATACCAAACCTATCTTATTATTGAAAGCGTAGGTTTTATTTTTGTATATTAGAATGTTATCACTATTACATAACTACTCAGGACAAAGAACTTAGCTCAGGGAATATACCATATAATGTTTTTCTTTCTTTACAGAATAGCCTACAGGCCTGCTTACTCAGAAAAAAACCAAATAGACTTTGACCTTTATATCTCAATATAAGTATTATATACTGATAATAATAACTACCTCTGAGTTGACATACCTACGTTTCTTATCATCAGATATCAACTTTTTTGTATTATGATTTCCTGTGAAAATAAGTGATAAAGCAGTATTCCTATACTGGTTGCTTATGTGAATATTTGTGATTTTACATTCATAGGGTCTGATTTTCAGATATGCTAAGCAGTTGCAGCTCCCATTGAATTCCAGTGGCAGTTATACGTGCTCAGGCCTTCTGAAAAAAAAGTATCATGCCCACTTCGTTTACATAGATAACAATAAAATTATTATTCTGTTTACAGCAAAAGGCTACCTCATACTTACTGCATAAACACACATTTGTGCTGCTCTGGCCTTAAAGGCGGCTGTTGATCTATGGTACATACTTTTTTATCTGTACTATATATGTAAATTGGTAATTCACCACTGCATACTTTAGGGCAAACACTTGTTTAAAATGAAGCATCCATTTGAAATTGTGTAAAGTTTCCAAACATTTCTTTACAGCTTTTTTTTTTCATCAAAAAGATTGTGGGCACTGTTCACAAAAAACAAAAACAAAACACAGAAACTAAAGCTAACTACAGAACTACAGAGCTGTGATAAGTAACTGATTGATTAGCACTGGATTGCAATAGAAAGTCTAGGTTTCATCCCCAATTTCTCAGATTAAATAAGCTACCTGAAAAGACTCTTGGCTTGTCTCCACTTACTGGGAGATTGATGCTGCGGAGATCAATCTCTCGGGCTTAGTTTTAGCATGTATAGTAAGGATCTGCTAAATCAATTCCTGATAGTGCTTGCCATCATCTCTGATACTCCACTGGGACACGAGGAGTAAGGGAAGTCAACGGGATAGTTTCTCCTGTCAATCTCCCACAGTGGGGATGTCACGGAAACTAAGCTATTCACGTAGCTGGAGTTGTGTATCTTAAGTCGACTTTCTCCCTTAGTGTAGACCTGGCCTAAGAGAAGGATCTTGGCAGGTCCTTAAGAATTCTATACATTTATGGGGATGATCCATGTTTTGGGGTCCTCCCATAGTTTTGTCACTTTTGATGATGAAATGAAGAGTATTCTCCATTTTGGAACCAACTATAAGAGAAGCTTGATTCCCATATTCCTGACTAAATGTGCACTAACACCTCACATTAGAACCAGTCTACACAGTTGCATTAAAATAGTTTCTGAAAGAGATATACTCCTCACTTTCCCACACTACTGGAGATGAAATTTAAAGCATGGGGAATTTCTTTCCTTATGCATCTATCCCTTCCCAGTTCCCCCAAAAAGATACTGGATTCGATCTCCTCTCAGACTACATTGTGGGATGATTTCTCCCCTTCCCATAAAAACTTAAAACAAGGTTCACTCATGCTTACTGAAAAGATGAAACCATTTATTTTAATTTAAAAAAAAAGCCTATTTTGGGAGAAAAGTGTTTTTGGTTGTAGTTGATGAATTTGGCATCTTTAGCCTCTAAAACATTTCTGCTTTTAATCAGCTTTTGGGGACTGCCAAAAGTAGTATGTTTTGATCCTAGCTCCTCTCCCTTTTATGGCTCAATTTTATTTTGCACCAGTGCTATTTCAGAGTTACTTCTTTGTTATATACTTAGTTTTGTGAATAGAGCCCCATAAAAGTGTTTATAGATCTTGTAACATTCTTTGTAAGAAGAATTATAAAAGCATGAGAAATCTCATTAAGTCTTAAAATTAATTTAAATTAATTTATCTGTAAGAAAACGTGTATCATAAAAATATATATGTGTATTCCCCTGTGCTGGATTTAAAAGTAATTGGGAAAGATATGTACCTGTGCAGATGCACTAATTTTAATTTTCTAATTATCTTAATGAGATTTGATTATTTGTTTTAGATACAAGCAAAGCCTTGTTAAATGCACCAGACCGTATTTTGGTTACTATCAACAGCCTCTTTAAGATATGTTGGTTGTGTTGCCTCTGTCATAATTGTAGACTGGTGAGGTTGATCTATACTTTTATACTTAAACAGGGCTGCAATTCAATGACTCTGGTAGAATTTTTATGAGAATATTGGAAAGTACCAAACTATTTACTGCCACTGTCAGTAAACCAAATGTCAGAGTAACTAGCTTTTGAAAGGATGATGGTCTTGACTACCTCTTGAATTATTATTTAAGCAACAACTGGTTGACAAACCTCACCAGACTGTGTTTAACTAGTATGTGTTGCTCATGGTAATAATAACAATAAGCATACTAGAGACCAAAGTGAACACTGATTTCTAAATGTCTTTAATACTGTGTCTTATCTAGTGGTTTTAAATTATCCTTTGTAGTATAGATTACCTCATTGTCCGTTTTGACTTGTATGTTGTTTACAAGGTGAAATAAAAATCACTTGAATTGTATTGTTTTTAAAGACAGTGAGTTGAAGTTTTGAAAGTCATTTCACCTGTTTACTATCTTCTGAATGGACTAAAAGCACTGATTGCCTTTCTACATATCATGTATTTTATATTCTCATTTCATTGCCTAATGTCTTTTTATTTCTATCAATCATGGATATTGTGAGGTTTAAATGAATTACGTGATAAAAAAATAAAACATATAACGTTGACATTTACAGTGGGCTTTGGAGATTTTCTTTGAGTGGAATGGTTGACGGGTAAATAATGATGCCCCTACACAAACTATTCATACATAAGCACAGATAATACTTTTCAGTATATCATCATCAGAAAAGATCATTTTAGTTGTGTAAATTTATGCTTATTCAGAACTAAATCTTGTAAATGGATAATTGTACCTCTCTGCCATATCAGCAAGGCTGCATAAGTTACCCCAAAATATATGTCCTGCTCTCAAAAATTATCATTGGTTTACCATATGCAGCCTATAGCCATTAAGAATGGTTATAAATCCCAGTCATTCAGATACTCAAACAAACCGGCTAAGTATCTTTTGATATTTAATTCCCATGCCATCTTCATCACCTCATCCTTTTCACAGGAACTGAAAATTTGAAATGTACAATTTTTAATTAAATAGTATCATTTGTATATCATCCAGCACTAATTGAAAACTTCACATGCCAAATCTAAATTTAGCATAATGTTATGCAAATTTGTGAAATCCTGGTGCTACTGAATTTGATTATGTTAAATTCCAAATGCAGCCCCTTATATTTAGGCACTTACATAATGGTTTTAATTTTCAGTACATAATTTAGAAAGAAGAATGATTTTATACGTTTGTATGATTACACAACAGTAATTCATTCCTGGTTTTCATCATGGATTACTTTTTTCAAATAACTTTTTATTGACACACTATGTTCATTTTCAACTATCAAGAGTAATTTTAATCTAGTTTCTGGTTTCTTGCAGAAAATGTTGTCTGAGATTTAAAGGCAAACATGCCAAGTCTCCTTGACCTCTTAACTATAATAGTTGTAAAATTACAAAGATACAACTGGTTTCAGTTTGGGACTATATAGTGTTTCTGCTGTTGCTAGTAATGCTCAATTTAAGAGGGCCTCTATCAATATCTGTATATTTTATTCAAATAAATTTAAGATAACACCACATATTATGTGTTCTGTAATTTCAACAAGAGTAGCATTACTGAGTACATATTAATGATCTTTAGTCCAAGCACTACAGCAGCTCTTAATGATTATTGGAATGGAAGTCCGTTGAAACTAAAGCAACTTTTTCAGAATAGGAGCAATCTTGAGGTTTCCTACAACTCGATGAAAATTAAAAATGATGCTATTGATTCAGAACCAATAAGACTAGCAAAACTCCTGATATTCATTAATCAATAGAAGAAATGTTGACTAACATTTTAATTATTACTGATCCACATAACATGAGTCATAGAAGTGATGCCCTCAAAACTCCACACAGAGAAATTAAAACACTACCTTTCAGAAGCATTACTCAGCAGCTACATGCATCTGACGAAGTGGGTCTTTGCCCACGAAAGCTTATGCTCCTACACTTCAGTTAGTCTATAAGGTGCCACAGGACTCCTCGTCGCTTTTGCAGATTCAGACTAATATGGCTACCCCTCTGATACTCAGCAGCAAGAATGTTGTTTCTGAGGAATGCTTCTGAAAGGCAGAGTTTTGCTAGAATCACTGAAGGCATTAAGCAGCAGCAACAGCAGAGCTTGGCTGTGATTTGGCAACTTGAGCTGAAGCTAGATAAGAGACCTACTCTCCTTCTGTGGACAAACCACCAGTCTTGCCATTGAGATACTGAGGATGCCCCATTAACATGTGCACTATTGTGGAAGGGTAGAACTAGCTATTTGGGCGGGTGGGGGAGAGAGACCCAACCTGGTACATAGATAACAGATTGAGCCAATTTAAATGATCAATTGTATTGCCTATCCTCAAGGGTTCAAATATTGTGAGTCAGACCTTAAAAAAAAACTTCAAAGGATTTTAAAGTTGTTATAAGTTTTACATTCTTCTCAGTTGACTTTGAGTTGTATGCCTTTTAAGCTTCACATTTTCAGGCTTTTCTCTGTAACTTTGAAGGTTAGAAACTTTAATTTAAAAATAAAACTTAAACACCTCTTCGAATCACAACTCCAAAACCACCGAATAATGTGAATGTCAACAATGCTGTAAAAAATACTGCTCCCTGTTTTTATGGTTAAGTTTGTGTAACCTCCTCCCAAAGTAATAATAAAGAGATCCGCAAAACCAACTCATTTCACACCTATTACGTGAAATTCTCTTTAACTGCTCTTCTACCTTTCATTCATCCTATAAACCAGGGGCTGGCAAAATACAGTCCTTGGGTTGGATCTGGCCCACCAAGCTACCTAATCTAGCCCATCACCTTTCCACAGCCCAGCAGGAGCCTCGGGCAGGTTCTGTGCCTGCTGCACCCCCCAAATGCCACTCAAAACAGCTGGCTGTGGGGGCTCTGTGCATCTCTGCATGCTGTACCATGGCAGGAAGGGTTCCATGTGCTACCCTCACCACAATCTTGCAGTTTCCATTGGCCAGAAATCGGGCAATGGCAGCTGCAAGATTGGGCTGGAGGCAGGAATAACACATGGAGCCCCTGGCCCAAGGGGCATGTGGTGCAAAGAGACACATATGGCCCCCGCTCTGCAACTGGCCATTTTGAGAAGGGGGGGGGGGAGATGCAGCAGGCAAGGAGCCTGCCCAAGGTTCCTGCTGGGCTGCTTGCTGGGAGCTGCCTAAGGTCTGCACTTCCTCACCTGCACCTAGCATCCTTCCTTCATCCCCACAATCCTCTGGACCTCTGCATCTGCACCTATCCTCACTCCCAGACCGTGCACAATAATCCCCAGGTCACAACCTCCTCCCAGATCCTGCAATCCCTCCTGCACCCCAACCCCCTATCCTCAGCTCTCTTCTGCACCAAACCTCCATTCCAAATGCCGTACTTCCTCCATTAATATCATCATGGAAGAAGAGTACAGCCCCTGACCACTTACCAAATTCTTGGAATGACCCCCTGTGATGGAGAGGAGGAGTGCTGGACAACACTTGGTTACTAAAAGGTTAAACTTAGGTAGCTAAGGGGGTTGGCAGGGACTCAGAAGAACCAATGGGATATAGGATTGAAATGTGAATTGTATATAGATAACTCTGGTCAACTGAAGAAGTGGGCTGTGCCCACGAAAGCTCATGATACCACCTACATGTTTTGTTAGTCTATAAAGTGCTACCAGATCTTTTGTTGTTTTTTTAGTTTATCCTGTACAGACTAACTCGGTTACCCCCTGAAGATTCTGCTCTTCCTTTGTGAGAATTACCAGTTAGTAGCTGGAGAAACACGATGAAATAATCACACAGACTTACCAAGCCTACAAGTCATATTGGCATGGGACTGGACTGGGCCTTGAAGTATGGATCAGTATGGATTGTGATTAAAGGGAAAATGTAGATTTAGTCACGAACAAGTTATTTTTCTTTATTCTGCTGTTTGGTAAAACTTATTTGTGTGAAATCCATGTGCCTTTCCTTCCCCCATTCACTGTACCCCAAGCTGCTTCCAAAGATAATGTTTTTTTCCGTTGTGTTTTAATCTGCTCTTTTCATAGTTTCTCTGTTACACCTAGCAAACCAAGTATGCTTTATCAACTACATCTTTTGTTTCGTAAATAAAAACACCTTTTTTAAGGTGATGATTGGATTCTCCTGGCCTGGAAGGTAACAGGTCTGTGTGTGTGTGTCCCATCCCTCTCCCCCACCAGCCTAAGAGGTCAGCTAGCAGAGACACAATTTGTTTTCAGTATTTTTTTTTCTTTTTTTAAGCTCTCTTGTGGCAAAAGAGCTGGGGTACCCCTGGGAGAAATTCAAGTCTTTCTTCCTGTTTTTTCAGGGTTTAAATCACTTAATGGTGGCAGCCTATTTGCCTGAGCCAGTGCATCTGTGACTCTGGGGAGGTTTTTTTTGTAAGCAGTGCCTATAGAGGCAAGATATTTAAGGTCTTTTGGAGACCCCCACCTTCTGCACTCAGAATGCCAGAGTGGGGAACAGTCCTGACACTCCCCATTAAAAATTATTGCCCACCCCTGCTATGAACACTTAAGTAGAAAATTGAAGGGAGAGTGAAGAGGATTCACTATGCAAGTTTTATGCCATTCCAAGGTTATTTCATTTGCAGATCAGAAAGCAGATCAGGTGAGCAGACCATAAAGATAAACATCCCTGGACAATTACAAATGTATGTCCTTTTTATTTCAGCTGGACACTTCAGAATTGTTAAAATCTGAAAATGCAGCTAATCCTTCTGTGTTTTTCTAGGTTTCTTATCACTATAGTTGAGGTTAAGACTTTGTCAGTTAGTTTTAATAAAAGTCACAGGCAGGTCACAGGCAATGAATAAAAATTCACAGAGCCTGTGACAGGTCAGTGATTTTTATTAAAAATAATCATACAAGTTGCTGGGAAGGGCTGCACAGATGCGGTTGCAGGCCCCAGTGGAAGCCATGAGGCAAGAGAACACAGCCTCAGTTGCAGCCCCAGCAGAAGCTGGGGGCAGGAGAGGTGCATGCAGGACTGAATTAAGAAAGGGGATTTAGGGATTGCAGCCCCAGGAAAAGGGATTCCTGCAAAAAGATCTCTAGACCATCAAAAGCACAGATCTTATAGTGGGGCCCTGGGCTGCAGCTACTAAAGCCCCTGTGTTCAATTGTGCTTAGCTGGAGGAAGAGGAGGTAGTTCTATGCCCTACCCACTCCTCCTCTCATCTAGGGAAGAGCCAAACCCCCCGCAAGTCTGTGGTACCTGTGACGCCGAAGGGGAGCTGCCCCAGGTAAGTTCTCCAATACCATGCCCCAGCCCAGTCCCTTCTTGCAACTTAACTCCCAGACCCCCACCCCCACCTCCTGCCCTGAGCCCCCTCCCACACGCCAAACCCCTTGGCCCCAGATATGCCCCTTCACTCCAGCCCCCTCTTGCACTCCAAATTCCTCGGGGCCCCCACAAACTCTAATAACCCTGGGCCCCAGAAAAGTGAATACAGTTCTGACTGGAGCCCCAGCTGTGGGGCAGAGGAATATAACCCCGGCTCTACAGCCATGGTGCTAGCCACAGCTTCAGTTGCTGACAGCTGAAGCCAAATATGTCGC